TCCTGCTCCTAGACATTATCCATTTAATTTTGTGATAGAACTTCAGCGAATATTTAGAAAGAGGGGAAGAGACATCATTAAAAAGCTGTAGAAAAACATAACTAAATCTACTTTCAATAACCTTAAATTGCATGTTTTTGAAGATTTTGTAATTCGGGATATCTCTGCTTTGGCATAATTTTAACAGACAGGAAAACTTGGCTCGTAAATACCTTTGTGTATGTAATGATACTATTTTTAAACCTGCTGATAACAGGGGTGCTATTCTTGTTTTAGATAAAGATGATTATTCAAAGGAAGTTGATAGACAATTGAGAAATATATCCAATTATTCCAGGTGTGCCTCCAATCCAACTCAGATGATTAAGAAAGATATTGTTAAGAACCTAGAAGAGGCATCACTGGGAGGATATACTTCTAAATCTACATATGAATTCCTTTTGAGAGAAGAATAACTCAATTTTATTTATTGCCCAAGATTCATAAGAATGTCATCCCTATGCCATACAGGCCCACTGTTTTGGGGGTGTGGCTCTATTCTTGAGCCTTCAGCTTCTTAGGTGGATCACTCTTTTGTACTTTTTTTTGGTGAGTACTCTGTCTGTGTGTATGTGTTGTGAGCCCGGAAGTCATAGTGACTTCTGGCAACCCCTAGTGGGGCTAGGACATTTCAGAGAGGTGGCTTGATAACCTGCCTCTGAATCCCAGCCCTGGTATTCATTGGAGGCCGCCCTTCCAAATACTTGCCAGGGTCAGCCCTGCTTAGCTTCCAAGATTAGACGAGATTGGGCTTGCCTGGGTTATTCAGGTCAGGGCAGGTGGATCACTTTTTGAAGCCTTTTTTCCCTTTTGACTAGATCATATCTTAAGGACATGATTTTTTAAAATATAGTGAATCAGATAGAATTAGATATGGAGGATGCATTATTTGTGATAATGGATGTTGTTCCCTTATATACAGATATTCCTTGGAGAGAAGAATCGGAGGTAATTGAAAATGTCCTTCATAGAAGAGAATATAACTTACATCCTCCTACCAGTTTTCTTTGCTCCTTGGCAGAACTAGTTTTGATTCCTTCCCCCAATTTAAAGAGGTGTGTGTGTGTGGGGGGGGGGTTTGCCAAATTTTAGGAACTGCCATGGGGTGCAGATTTGCTCCTGAGCTGGCTGATTTATTCACGGACCATTTTGAGCATGACCATATCTTTCATGAAAATAGTCTCTTTGTAACTATATTAAAACGTATTTTTTTTAAATGATAACTATTTATGATTTGGAAGAGCTATGAAGAATTGTTAATACAATTTGAAGAATATGTCAATTCAGTCCATTAATATATCAAATTTAATATAAAATTAATATTTAATATCAAATAGTCACCAAATTCATTTTTGGATGTTTGGATTGGTTGGTATGGATCCTCTACATAGACTGATATTTATAGGAAACCTAGAGATGTTAATTCCCTGTTGGCTTTTGGCAGTTTTCATCATCAACATCTGAAACAGAATTTACCTTATTCCCACATGTTGAGGCTGACTAGACAATGTAGCAACATCACACATTTTTAAAGACAGGATCATGTGCTGATGAAACGATTTAAAATTAGGGGTTACTCATCTAGAATTCTGAAGCAGGCCCTACATAAGGCTAGGAATATTGATAGGTCACTCTTGTTAAGATCTAAGTGTAAATCTAAGGAAAGAAAGAGACTAGTTCTCCCTTTCACCTATGATGGTTTGTCCAACAAGGTGAGGGAGAGTATTTACAAACATTGGGATCTTTTGTCAAATATCCCGAGGAGGAATCGAAAACCTCTGCTTGCTTTTAAATGTTCAAACTGGACTGTAGCTATGGTGGGGCTACTGGGGGCTCTGCCCCCTTCCTTAAAGGGCTAGCCCCTGCCCTTAAAAGGCCCCCACTTCTTCTCAAAAGCATATAAAGGGATCCTTTAAATGCTTTTGAGAAGAAGGGGGTGGCACACGCACCTCTCATGCAAGATTTAAAGGGCTCTCCAGTTGATCAGTGGGCCACACACTTCCCACTGATCAACTGGAAGGCCCTTTAAATCTTGCAGGAGGGGAGGGAGGGAGGGGCATGCCACCCCCTGCTTCATTATGGAAAATAATTGCAGTAGGCCCGTAGCCAGGATTTTCTAAACAGGGGGGCCTTTTAAAAAGTCAGGGGGCACTGAAATTCACAGCCTCCCCCCTGCTTCTCCCTCAAAGCATTTAAAGGGACCCTTTAAATGTTTTGGGGGAGAAGCAGGAGC